TTGGAGTCCGGAACCCGAAAATTAGGAAACGACGACGATCGAACTTTGATGGGACTACACCTCCTCCTGCGGCCACCTTTCCACCGACCCTTGTGCATATATCAATGTGGAAACGGGGTTTACATAATTGAAATGCATCAGTGGAGGCCTGAGAATAACTTTCATATCAGATGGCTAATCAGGCATCCGGGTTATGCAACTTGTGGAAATTCATACAACATGGTTGGGGAATCAAATATCCATAGAGTATATATGTAGATCCCCCTTAAATGCTCATCTCTCATGCGCAATTATCTGGAAAAGTAACTCAAATATGAGATCTTGGCATTAGGTCGTAGTTACTATTTGACTAGATAACAAATCTGTTGTTGAATTCTTGGTAGTTTAAACGATTAAATGATGTCGGGAATTAAATGTGGAAATAGCATCAACAATGATAATACAACGCATTACGGATATAGTCGAACAAGATATTATAATAACACTGACTAAAATATAATAAACCCATAAATTCTGATATATTGTCAAAAAGCTTTAGTAGAAATAATTAACCAAAACATTTCGTTATATATATTTACCTTAAGTTTCTTATAGGTCGCAAGCCGAGAGTATTTTTTCTGATTTTATCGCATCTTTATACTTTTCTTGACTCATAACTGTTTAAGCTGAGAAAACACCTCCGGTAATCTTCTTCTTGCGGAAGTAACCCACTTTAAAAGTGGTCTTAAAAAACCGCAACTTAATCGCTGATTAGATAAAGAACTCTTCAATGGACAGCATTTTATGAAAGTGATTTCGCCGTTTTCGCTGAATTTCGATCGGCGGCTGATTGCCGGAGAGTTATCACCCAAATCGATGTAACAATCAATGGCCAGGGATTTTCGGTCCATGTTGCTGTTCAACTTTGACTCTCGGCTGGCATCATCTGGGGATCGGAGTCGAGGGAGTCGGAGTCCAGGTGGAGGCGAAGTCGGGGTCTTCCTGCACTCTGCACTGCATCTGCAGTGCACTTTCATAACACAATTTATCGCTGTCTGCTGATACAAGGCAGCAGATACAAACTACAAAATACCGCTCATAAAAACTTAAATCGAGTTAAGTTCCGCTTCATTGTTCGGACGGGCCAAAAAAAAAAAATCAAAAGAGAAACCAACAACAACGGGCAAACAAATTTAATATGTACTAATTGAATGTTGTGCAGCTCCAGCTAAAGACCCACTTCGGCCAAAGCTTAACTCCCTCTCCATTCCCAATCCCATTTGTATCTGCATCGCTTCTACATTGAGTCGGGTTCAGCCGGGTTGAACTTTAGGGTCACTCCGGCAGAAAAACTCAGAAACTCGGCTCGTGAAAGTACGAAATCGAAAATCAAAAGTGAAATGTCGAACCCTGGCCCAGACAGGCAGACTAACTGACTAACCAACTGACTGACATAATTCCCGCTTGGCCAGCCAGATTTTGGGCTGCTCCCTAAGACGAATGCCGATTTCGGAATTCCGAATTCCGAATCCGATGCATCTGGTATTACGCGCCTCGCCCCGAGAGCCAATTTTTCTCCGCCTTTGCCTCGAGGTATGGGTTACGATTTTGTGGTTTCTACGGGTACTCGTCCCATGGGTAAAGCACTGGGCGAAAACCCCTATATCAAGCTAAAAGCCAGCTATTGTAAGTAGAGATATCAACCTTAAAACTTAACTTTATAAATTTTGATAGCATTAAAACTTAATGATCTTGAACCCTTGAATATAGATATTGTTTTGAAATACTGGTTTCATAAGATTTTACAACTTACTGCCGCAATATTATATACAATTCTTGATATATAATAAAAAATATTATAATAAGTTAAATATTATATTTATTGAATATTATTAAGAAGTACAAAATATTGAATTATAGTGATGTTACTCACAGTGCAACAATACATTGTTCTAACTACCATATAGCAGAGCATTCTCCAACTATGTTTAGTATCGGGTGTCCCTTAGTCTCATTCTAATGTTTTTCCCTCCCTCTCGCTCTCAACCAAACCGATCTGAACTTGAACCGAAAGATACGATTTCAAGTTGAGCTCCACAGTTGATGGGGGTATACCATAATACCAACTGGGAGAATCGTTTGATTTGCAATGCAAAAGAGACTGGCAAGGTCTGTGGGCCAGGCCACTCTTGATTTCAATTCAAGTCCAAGTTCAGGTGAGCGATGGATATGAAAGGCGCGCTGCGTTGTCGCCTACGGTCGGGGATTTGGAATAGCTTCCTCTGGAGGTGTGCAGATATATATCTATATATATCACAGAGAGTATACCTTATTGAAAGGGATCTGCTAGATGCGCTCCTAATCCCATCAAGACTGGAGGTGTTGCTGATATGCCGCTGAAAAGCTGTGCAGATTAATCATAAAGTCCATAACAAAGAAGTTTTGCATGCCGGCGGAGATGTGGATATATGTACCTATACCTATGGAGATGTGGGATGTGCAGCGGGGGGCTGGGCATCATCTGGCACGGATCACGGATCCCGCTGTCACGTGTCAGTCAAAATGACTCTGGCACTCTGGCAATCTCGGCAATCGCGGAGGGCAGGCCTATGAAATAGTTACGAAAAAGAGCGAAAAAATAGGTGTTACCCGGGGGCCGAGGAGCCGGCTTAATTGTTATTATTGTTCGGAGATGGAAGCCAAGAGATGGAACCGCTTCTGCAGCTGACAGCGAAATGTTCGCAACATGTCAAAACTTTTATGGTTTTTTAATGGTTCTCCATATAGATTTGGCCAGAGTATGATTTTAATTGAATTTGTGTTTATTTATGAGTGGCGGCGGCAAACTATTTATAATGTATCTTCCCCTTACACTCCAATTGGGCTCTTCTTTTTTTTGTCTCTTACATCTTGTTTATCTGTGACTTCTGATTGCTGACGCTCGTTTTGCCTTGTCGCCAGATCTGATATCTCTGCGCGGGGTTTATCTGGCCAGGTATTCCATGGGCAAACACTCAAAAAACTTGTATATTTATCAAGAAGCTGGCGTACACCAAAAGAATTCACAATAAACTCACGGATTTCTCGGGGACAGTTATGTGCTAAAGTTGTTTTGGAGGCTTTGAGCTCACTTGGCAAGCAGATAAGTTAAATCAGCTGCTCGGCAGTTAGATCTCATTATTCCAGCGACCTTGAGGCGCTTCTAATTGCGCGCTACAGATGGGATGCATCTGTATCTTTTGCTTTGACAAGTGCAAGTCCAGCTGCTGATAAGCTAGCTTCGGCTCTGGCCGGTCTATAAATACACCCAACGGAACCCAAACCAAACCAGACCGCACAGATCTGTGCATCTGCATTCCTGAGTGATTACGCTGCGTAAGATACATTTGTATCCGATGGACTGACACCCCAGAAAACTCGGCTAAAAAATGCCTTACACAAAATTCAATGTACACACGAGAACGTCCAACGTTCATACCTATATTTGTGCGCGTACAGAAAGTTTCATAATTATTGGATGAGCAAGAGTTGAATAATAAACACATTTCTGGCTTTGACAGCTTTAAAAATACATTTTTTAATGGCTTCCCATTATTCTATTAAAGTGCTTCGGTCAGCATTATTAATAACGAATTTAAAATGAGTTATTCATTATTCACACCTTAACTTAAGGGATTATTCTTTAAGTTTTACCTGTCTTATGCTTTCGTTCCTCACTGTCCACTGTACACGGCACTGCAATTGTTTCGCCATGAGCATCTTTCACTCAAAGTATCTTCGGTGTTCTGGTGGAAAAGATATTTTTGGTTCTCTGGCGGAATGATATTTTGGGGACAAATGTGTGACTCCCAACTAGCGTGATATTTACACCCCGAAAAGTGTTAGCTTTTGGCGCGGTTTTATTTTAAATTCTTTCGATTTAAAATATTCGACATATCTGATCTTGTTTTTTAAATCCTTTTCTTTGCTGTACTGTTTTCTTTTTAATTTCTTCCCGTCCATTAGAAATACTTTCAGGCTTAAACCGTTTGTTTATCATTTTAAAGATAGCCAAGAAGCTCATGCAAATCTCTCCTTAAACAATGTTCAGCTGATTGTAAACTCTAGCAGGCGATTTTTGTGGCCCGAACAAAAAAGCTGGAGACGTCTCCGGCTTGTGCAACATGCTCTGCTGTTTGTTCAACATCAATTAAGATTATAGGAAAGCCACTTGTTCAGCAGAGAAAAAATAAAAAAATTAAAAACAAAAGCAACAGCAACAGCAGCCAGGCAAAGAAAAAGTCTTCCACTGAAACAAAAGCCTGGCCAACTCGGGTAACCAATCCCCGAAAGACAATGGACACGCCAGTGGATGCAACAAAAACGGGGGAAACGAACTAAACATATTTAATGACAGCCAACGGATAGTGGATGGTGGCATTAGTGGTACGGGTATTATATATAAGGAGGGGCATGTCATGGTCATGGCTTGACTAGCATGGTCTGTGCTAAAAATTCGCATGCGTAACACTCGGGTTCCGTTCGAGGAAATCGAAAGGTGGCAGTTCGGAGGCTGAGGCCAAATGGTTATTATCTTTTGAATGTTGCCATAAATACCGAGGGTAATTAAAAAATATATACAGAAATAATTTGTAGTTTTCGAAATAACATCAATTATGTGATAAAAAAGAAGCACAAATAAAAATGGAGATGGATTTCGAAAGCTTATGTGGGAGTTGAACTTATTTTTATATGCCTCATATTTTCTCTGGGATAATTTATCTGGTTGTCAAATTATTGTTTTCCAGAAGTATTTTCAATATTTAAATATTAATAGAGCAGAAAATTTGTTTACTACATTTTAAAATGTTTCTATTGAAAGACATCCATCGTCATACAATAATATCCCATTTTACTGTAGCCTCGATCGCATTGGGAATGAAGTATGCGCTGCACCGGATAAAAATAGATCGACAGTGTGCTTTAAATTTGAGGCACTGAACTTTACTGCGAATACACTCAACCGAATCATCAGCTACTATAAGATCAAAAAGAAAATGCCGGAGGCACGTCAGGGATGTATTACATATGACATTCCCTCAAGAGGGAAATATGAAGGTCTACCGATGAAAACTTTTTATTTAAACAATGAAAATGGAAGCAATTGGAAGAGGTGAAGAATGAAGAATCGCAGAAATTTGCATGAAAGTTCGAAGTTCAGTGCTTGTGGCATGCTTTTGGGCGAACATTTGCAATATCCTATAAACAAATTAACAATGGGGGGTATATAGGAATCCCAAATAACTTACGTATAGCAAGAAAATGTTTTAAGATTATATTTTTATAGACTTTTCCTAAGCTTTGCATGATTTATGGTTGTTATACCTATTTTTTGTATTTTATTTAACATTATATTTATTAAATTCGAAAAGAATTTTCCTTTAACACTTCTAACATTCATGTTGTTTGCCTTAAACTTATCTTTCAAAGTGTTAATCCAAACATATATGTATGCGTGCTATACAAGTTTATTTTTAGCTTATCAGAAGATATAAAAATGAGCCAAGGCTAAATATAGGCAATGTCTTTGCTTAATAAGTTTCAAGTATTCCAAGTTATATTAAATATATTATTTTTGTATTATTTAGTGACTTGAGCACCAAGGCACTTCAACCCATAGAAGTTGATCAGTCGGTGAGGAGAAGGACCAAGAGCAGTCGCCTGATATCCTGTTGCTGCATGCGCCACTCCACGCGGACAGTGGACAGGAAGTGATCCATTTGGAAGGGGAGGCAATTAGTGGTAAGATCGGGAGCACAACTGTGATTAGCCAACCCATAACTTGACTTACATTCACCCAACTTTCAACAGGCGATCAGCAGGTGCCGCACCTTGGACCACTGAAGCTGTCCAGCTCCTTGCCCACCACTCCACAGTTGGGACAACGGGTGGTGCGAGGACGTGGCTACAAGAAGCTCTCATGGAATGACCAGCCGGCCCGGGAACCATCCATATCAATGATCGCCCAGGGCCAGGAGGCCAGGGCCAATCCGCCGCTCACCTATCTCAGCCACAACAACAACAATAACAATAACAACAACAATGATGATGATGAGGAGGTGTACGATCCCATTGCCAAATACTTTGCCAACACGCAGCATCAAAAGCTATCTCCTCGCATCGCTGCGAAAAGCTCACGGATTCTCTGCGAGAATTGCTGTGGGGAGAGGCAGCAACAAGTTGGCAGCTCTATGGACCGCCAAAAGCAACAGCAGCAGCAGCCAGCAGCAACAGCAACAGCAGCAACATCATCAGCACCAGCAGCAGCAACAGCTGCCGTTTGGGGACTACGATTCAGTGTCCGATTTGTCGTCGTTTCGCTTTGTCTTCGATGGGGAGGAAGTCGATTCCACGAGGCGCGTATTAGTCGATGCTCATTATGAGGATGCCGCTGACGATGACGATGACGTTGCGCGGCCGCCGGTTATAGAAATAGAAAAGCGGCAGCCAAACACATCAACAACGAAAACGGAAAAATCAACAGTGGCAATAGCAACAGCAACATCGTCTTTGGGAGACGCGTCATCGCCAGTGTTGTCCCTGTCATCCGAAATCAGCGACGAGTCACCAGCAATTTGTTGTTATACAATTGACAAAAAACTGTCACAGCAGCAGCATCTGAAGCAGCAGCAGCAGCAGCAGCAACAGCAGCAACATCTCAACCAGCAGCAGCAACTGCAACACTACAATTCCTGTGCCACCGTTAGCCATCGAAGCTATCGCCATCCGCCACCAGTTCCTCCAAAACCGCGTGTCTATATAGACTCTTCTGTATCCGATGAACCAGCTCTGAAGACCCGACGTTTGGTCTGCCATCAGCAGCAGCAGCAGCAACATCATCATCATCATCATCAGCCACCTGCCAACTCCCCTCACTATCCTCCTCGAATCTACCCCGCCAACAGCTGTTGCCTCCCCAAGGATTACAATCCCTATGCCTTCGAGGGAAACTTCAGCAACAACATCAATTACAATTGTCGTTTCGGTTCAAGTGGGGATTGCACTTGGGGATTGGTGAAGGGGCCGCGATCCCTATGCTATGATCGACACGGCCGCCTGACCTTCGACTCGGAACCGGAACCGGAAGTGGTGGTAGAAAAGAGCAACGGAGTGCAGAAGTCCCTGAGTGAATCGCGTTTGCAAGTACAATATTACGCAGAGCCCAAAGTTCCTTACGATCCGTATACCGACTTATCGCGTGTGACCGCGAATGTTATAAACCCCGAAAGAAGCGACCGGGAAAGTACGTTTTCTCTGCCCCTGCAACACAATCGTGAGTGCAATGCACTGACCCAAGTGAATCCCATAAACTATAATCATCTAAACCAAGTTAAGCGGAACCATATACTCCTGCCCTGTCACTGCAATTCCCATGTGGATGCTCCATACGAGGTTAACAAGGAGAACGGGGTAAGTTCAGACCAATAATAAAGAGTACTATGAAAAATTAAAGAAATAATCAACCGATCAGTTCAATGTGATAAAATACATCGAAAATCATACGATGAGTTAAGATAATATAGGACCCAAAATGGATGAAATGAGAAAGACCAAATAAACCTCTAGCAGATATAGATAAAATGTATATTTGTATTTTCCGATACTCGATGGCCACCATTCATCACCGAACTGTCAGGGAGTGCAATTTTCAGCCATAAACCTTTTGTTTTGATCGATTTTATTGATCCCATATATCATATAGTTACTCGTACGTTTTGTTTTCCGTTCAATGGGAAAAGAAAATATCTCTCGGAGATTGTAGTTGGGGCCAGAGAATAAGTCATATATGTACGGATGGATGGATGGATGGGCACACCTGAACGGCACGTTCTGCCGCTCAATTGGAGAGTTCGGGAGAATGTGGGATTTTAGCCTGTGATTTGTGTTGCTTGCGAGAGTTCTGCTCACCAGAGATCTCTTTGGTGGTATTGCTCTACTTTTGTGTTATTTGTACGATTCTTTTAATGCGTGCACTAGGAGAAAAAGTTGGAAGTACTAAATAGGTCAGGAGTTCTGAAAAACAGTATTTCTTTTTAGTTATAATATTTCTTTATAACACTAAAGAAACATACTAAGGAACTGTTATGATATGGGACTTTTATTAAGGTATATTGAACTATAGTATACAACTTTATCAAGACAATGATATTTCTAAATAACAAAACACCCATACCAACTTTCTAGCCGTGTATTGTAAGTTGGTCTGTCCGCTCATTCATTCCCAGTCATAGCCAAAGATCTCTTGTATTTTCTGTATATTCCGCCTACATACATATATACCTATATGTATTTGGATTTAAATACGTATGTGGAATACGTACTTTTATATATGCGGCTGAGATCTGTTGTTTATACTAAAAATATCACTGTGTGTGTGTATGTATAAACGAATCGGCTTAATATATATAGAGCACTGTTGGCTTTCCTTACATTGTGTTCTCTTTCGGTTTGCCTGGTGTTGGTATGTGTGTCATTGTGCAGCGAATATAATGACGCTGGGATCTGAGAAGGCGCCTAATATAACGCTCATCAGCATGAGGTTCCGGAAATTGGAATACATAATGCTCATGCTTATTCCAATTAGCATTTCGTTTGTCCCATAGGATCCTTTCGGGAAAGCGAATTCTTCAGTAGTTTCCTTTTTCAATATTACACATACGCCGCATTGACTCAATGTTTGCTGGGTGTTTCAGTGTATCGAATTGAATGGCCAGTGCGATTTGTTTGTTTTTATTTTGTTGTCGGGGTGGGAAGTGGGCTAGGGGGTTGGGTGGAATCACAAGTACGCCCACAGCTAGTCCATAAAAAGACATGGGTGTGGAGAGGGGGGTTGGGTTGTATGGATAATTGGCCCGGGCCGATGAATAATAAACGTTTAACTCGAATTCTTTCCACCCTTTCTCGCTCTTTTTTCAGCACACAATGGAGAAACGACGTAATACCCTGGACCGCTTTCAGCGCCTTGGTTTTGGACGTAAATCATCACCAGCTGCCCCAGCCTCCACCTCCGCATCCACGTCCACGTCCTCTTCCTCGCCATCCACTTCCGGTCCGGAGAAGCAGCGCAAGACTTCGGATCGCTCGGAGCGTCTGCGCGAGCTAACAGAACTTTTGCGGGGCGGAGGAGGTGGCGGCAGTAGTTCCCGCGCCTCCTCCACGCCCACTCCGCCACCACCGCCACCGCCGCCACCAGTGCCACCGCCTCGAAAGCCCCGGACTTCCCACCTGGAGCGCCAGGATACAGGTGCCAGTCACACTTCCGAGTCGGAGGCGGGCAGCATTCATCACAGTGGAGGGGAGGAGCAGGAGGAGGTGGCAGTCTCAGCACCGCAGCCCGCATCTTTGCTTCGCTGCGGCCAAACACCAGTCTCTCCAACCTGGAGGCCTTCATGCTGAGCAACCGCGAGAAGTCCAAGTCCCCGCCCCCACCTGCGCAGCAGAATCAAAACCATCGACCTGCGGCCAGCAGATGCGTAGATGCGTCGGCCACTGGCGGCAGTGCCAGTTTCGAGAGCACGGCGCTAGCATCTCGGCCGGATTCACGCAGTGCGCACCACAAGGTGGCACCATTTCGCTCGGTTTCCTTTTCGCAGATCGACTGTAAGTCCACGCTGAGCGCTCTAAGGGATCGCCTCAAGCGGGACAAGGCCATCGAGGCGCCCAGTCCCAGTCCTACGCCCTCTAAAGAGGAGGACCATCATCCAGATCCCGGCTGGGTGCGAATACCCCTGAAGAAGACCGAACTCAGCATCAATCTGAATTACGGCCAGGAAAAGTCCCTTGATCACGAAGCTATCCAGGAGGAGGACATCTTCAGCAACGAGTTGTCCGCCAGTGGCAGCTCGGGCATCCTCTTTCCAGTGGCTGCTACTGCTGCCACCGCCAGCAGTGTGATAGCCGCCCATGCCACCATGGAATCCCTGACAGACACCATTCAATCGGAGAGCGATTGCCTGATCAAGGAGGAGGTGCAGCCGCATATACATCCGGTCTTGGAGATCACACCACCCACTTCCTCGGTGAGTGGCAGTGCACCCAATTTGGCCACCTTGATGGAGGAGCAGCTGCCACTGGAGGCACCACCGGATAACTTCCTGCAGACAGCCACCACCTGCGAGATACCAGTGCCCGTTTATGAGTGTGCTGCCCAGGAATGGCTGGAGACTCCGGCCCAGGAATGGGTGGAGGTGGCTCCCGAGGAGTTTGGCATTGTGCCAGAGACCATACAGCCACCCATTCCGCATGCAGCCTGCAAAATATCCCAGACGCCCTCGACTTTGACCACAGCTGTGCGGAGTGACCTGGTGCCCACCATATCAGTGAGTCGATCCTCCGAGGAGGGTGACGAGCTGGCCAAGATCGAGGATGTGCCGCAAGTGGAGGTGGCCACCACGGCTAAGAATCCCTCGGTGGGGCAGCACTGCAAGCAGTATAGCCACGATGATCTGGACCTGACCAATGTGGATCTGAGGAGCTCCCTGGAGGCCATAGCACACCGCGGCACAGTACGGATGAGCGGCAGAGGAGGCACCTGGACAAGTCCACCAAACGGAAGGGGATGTACATAGACAATGCGGACTGGCAGGCTCCACGGAGCCACCACAACGTGGCCTTGCTCTGGACATTGGGGTGGCCAATCTGAATGCCATTAAACCGGAATCCTCGGATGTGAGCACGCCCGGTGCCTCGCATATGTACATCAGCAGTCCCCAGAGCTCCTATTCCTTTGAACTGAATACCCCGAGTTGGAGAAGGGTTCCCCTTCCTGGGGCAGCGGCGGATTGGGACGCGACAAGGCCCAGCTGCTGAGCAACTTCAGCTGCCACAGCAGCGAGGAGAAGGACGACGCCTCCAGTCGCAGCCTGAGCTTCCTGCGCACCGACTCCACCTCGGACAACGAGTGCGACCGGGCTGCCAGGGAGCGGGAAAGGGAGCGGATCACCTCGAGTCCCACGCCCAGTGGAGGCGACTACGACTACAAGCGATTCTCGAAGCGACCCCTCAGGGGTCCCTATGGCCAGATGCTGGAGGCGGAGATGAAGAAGCCCAACCGGATGCACTTCGAGGAGATCCTCGAGGAGCTGCGCGAAACCGACAGGTGAGATCTATCACTTGTTCAAAGTTCGTGGTCTGTGGCACTTGAAGATCATGATTATGTTTATAATATTTCCTATATCTTTTATTATAAAATCATTGATAAAAATTTTAATATTTCGAGAGCGATATTTAGTTTTTCTGTTTTGCTAGAAAGGATTTTTTTGAGAACCCATTAAAAAATGATCCAATTCCTTACTTTCAGCTTGCACCTGCGTGGATCGGCTCCTGGTGGGGCAGCTGGTGGCTCGGGGGTCCCTCCCGCAATCTGCCGCAGCACTCCAACTCCATGAGGGTGCGCAAGACGAGTACCTTTTTGCCGGTGCCATCGCATGCTCGAGCGGCTTCTACACCATCGCAGCTGGAGCACACCAACAAGGCCATTTCCGCGGCCACCGCCCAGATCTCCGTTTCCGCCAAGAACCTGAGCGAGGCGGAGTTGGATGACCAGCTGCACCACATGAAGCGCGCCGCCTCCGAGGCTCCGGCCCCCAAGTCGCACCATAGCAAGCGCAGCCAGTCGATGAGCACAGAGCGACCCAGTCTGCACCACCATCACAGTCATGGTCACAGTCACGGCCATGGTCACAGCCACAGTCACCATCATGCCGGCAAGCGGAGTATGGATGCGGGATCTGGCGATAAGGCAGGGAAGAATTCTCCCCCTGCTGGAGCTTCGGAATCTGGATCGGGATCAGCAGGAGGTGGCAAGGCGGGCCTGAAGCCATCGCCCGCTTTGTTGGCCGAGCTGCTTAAAGGATCCAGTGAGAAAATGGTCTCCGAGCAGCGGAAGAAGACTATAGCGGTGAGTTCACTTTTAAGAATTCGGAATGGATTCCAGTTCAAGACAATAGTAACCTCATAAAAAACATTTGGTGGTGCTCTGAGTCAGAACTTCCGTCTTCTTTGAATTCTCAGAATTCTCTATAAACGGAAACAGATATTAAGACATTGGAAATTGTAAAAATTATTTTTATTAGTAATGAAATACATATGGGGGTTACAAAGTATAGCAGATGTTTATTTTGCTTCCAAAATATACATTTAAGACGATTTTTTGAGGGAAACTGCACGTTTCATTATAGAATGACTCAGTTTTGAGTAGTCAATTACTATTTTGATGGGGAAATCCCATTCTTACTACTTGAAGGTTTTACGAATTACTAGAATTTTTAAGAATACTAGATTTGAATTATTTGGAGAGTTTGAAGTAAGCATAGAACACTGCGCTCTGAAGTATGCTATGATTTACTTACTTTAAGCGGGGCTTAAAAAAATGGGATTCTATTAGCAGTATTTCTCTCTTTGCGGTCACTGCCAAAACTTTCCAGTTCCAGCTGAGAGCGAATTTTCTGCGGCAGCGATCGTTAGCTTTCCTCCCTTGCTTCTCTTTCTGTGCCCCCTTTTATCTCTCTTGTTGTATACCCCCACACATACACATATTCCAACTTTCTCACGCTTTTTGTTTTGCTTGCTAAGTAGAAGTGCATGTTGTGGGTGTGGGCAGAGGCAGAGGCAGAGGCAGAGGAAAAGGCAGCGGCAGAGGAAAAAGCAGCGGCGCCATGTGAATTTTGAGGCGCATGCTCCAAAAGAAAAGAAAGAAAACGGTGCGCATTGGAAATGTGTGTTAGTGTGCTAGTCCCGTTTCATTTCGTTTCGGCTCGGTTGGGTCCCTTCGTTCCATTCCGCTCCGTTCCGGGCACAGTGGTTGCATTGAACTATTTTTACACTGGATGCAAATTGTAATTGACAGATGACTGATTTTGGGTGCATTGTGGGTGTAGGATGTGTATTCTTGGTAAATGTGAAACAACATGGAAAAAAGGTGTGTTTCTTAGGGTTTTGATTTATAATATAATTATTAGAGAATTTCTCCACAAATTCATAGAGGTATCCACATCTAAATCGGAAACAATGCCAAGTTATGAAATTTCGAAGTGCAGTTTTGGGTTCCCATTCTGAAAGCCTTAGGAATTACGGAAAATCGAACATGAAAACGGGTTCAAAATCTGACCCTCGCCTAGAAAAAGAGTTTTAATGTAGATTATTAGAGAATTTCACCACAAATTCATAGAGGTATCCACATCTAAATCGGAAACAATTGTCCAAGTTATGACATTTAGAAGTGCAGTTTTGGGTTCCCATTCTGAAAGCCTTAGGAATTACGGAAAAATCGAACATGAAAATGGGTTCAAAATCTGACCCTCGCCTAGAAAAAAATTTAAATGTAGATTATAGAGAATTTCACCACAAATTCATAGAGGTATCCCACATCTAAATCGGACAACAATTGTCAAAGTTATGAAACTTCGAAGTGTAGTTTTTGGATCCCATTCTAAAAGCCTTAGGAATTACGGAAAAATCGAACATGAAAATGGGTTCAAAATCTGACCCTCGCCTAGAAAAAGAATTTAAATGTAGATTATTAGAGAATTTCACCACAAATTCATAGAGGTATCCCACATCTAAATCGGACAACAATTGTCAAAGTTATGAAACTTCGAAGTGTAGTTTTGGGATCCCATTCTGAAAGCCTTAGGAATTACGGAAAATCGAACATGAAAATGGGTTAAAATCTGACCCTCGCCTAGAAAAAGAATTTAAATGTAGATTATTAGAGAATTTCACCACAAATTCATAGAGGTATCCCACATCTAAATCGGACAACAATTGTCAAAGTTATGAAACTTCGAAGTGTAGTTTTGGGATCCCATTCTGAAAGCCTTAGGAATTACGGAAAAATCGAACATGAAAATGGGTTAAAATCTGACCCTCGCCTAGAAAAAGAATTTAAATGTAGATTATTAGAGAATTTTACCACAAATTCATAGAGGTATCCCACATCTAAATCGGACAACAATTGTCAAAGTTATGAAACTTCGAAGTGTAGTTTTGGGATCCCGTTCTGAAAGCCCTAGGAACTACGGAAAATCGAACATGAAAATGGGTTAAAATTCTGACCTCGCCTAGAACAAGAATTTAAATGTAGATTATTAGAGAATTTCACCACAAATTCATAGAGGTATCCCACATCTAAATCGGACAACAATTGTCAAAGTTATGAAACTTCGAAGTGTAGTTTTGGGATCCCGTTCTGAAAGCCCTAGGAACTACGGAAAAATCGAACATGAAAATGGGTTCAAAATCTGACCCTCGCCTAGAAAAAGAATTTAAATGTAGATTATTAGAGAATTTCACCACAAATTCATAGAGGTATCCCACATCTAAATCGGACAACAATTGTCCAAGTTATGAAACTTCGAAGTGATTAATGATTTTCTTTTTTTATAAAAATTAGATTGCAAATATGATTATACCCCTATAACTTACCTTAATTTATACGATGATTGAATTTATGAAAACTAAAAGAGGGATAATTTAAAATCTAACCATTTCAAGGACTAACGTATTAGCCTTTCAGTTTGTTAGACCTAATACTAGAACAGTTTTGATTTTTTAATTTTGACATATTTTATTCTAATTTAAGCCGATTTATTTTTCAATATCCGGTATAGGACTTAACCCTTTCCTGGGCCGTTTCACATTTTCCCTTTCGGACACTTGTCGCATGCAAATCGAAAGGAAACCGCATGCTCTCTGTGGCTCTCTCCCATTTTCTCAGCCATTTTCCTGGCTCTCTCAGAGCGGCGCATGGCATTCCAATGGGGTTTTAACAGCTGAGACTAGCGCACCATACAATGTTTTGAGTGTGTTTACGATCTGCTTTCGGTTCGCATGGATAATTGATGTTTTGTTATAGAGCAGATAAACCGAAAGTCTTAAATTCACTATGATTGCCAATATGTGTGTGTGTGTGCGATGTGCTTTTGTTCTAAGCATGATTCTCTCCAGTGTTTCACTCTCTAGACTCGCCCTCTCTCTTCCGCTCTTAACTTACAGTGGGCGGTGGGTGGTTTTTAGAGTGAGAGTGGGGGTGGTGGGGTTGGTTTTTTTCAGTGCGCTTGGAATATGAAAAATGGAAATTAAGTGTGTATATGGCACAATGGAATGTGTTCGCTGAGTTGAGTGGCGGAATCGCGCACTCCTGTTTGTGGCCTTTGGATTTTGGGATGTGCCACTGTGGCTGCTCTCCCGCGCAGCAGCAACAGCAGCAGCAGTAGCCGCAGCAGCAGCAGCAGCACAGCAGCCGCAGCAGCAACTGCGACAGAGCAGCGAAAATCTGAAAAGAGACCACTGTGCGCGTTTCAATTCTTATTTGCTTTTCTACGACCATTGTGTGGCGGAATTGTTCATGTTTCGTTCGCTCGTTCGTTTGTTATTTATTTTTTTCGTGGAGCGAGGAATCCGTTAACGGCGTGTAAAAAGCAACAAACAAATAGAGCAACAAAATAGAAATAACTAAAACAAATCGTAAATTGGCCAAACAACAACGAATTCGTGTATAGAAAAAATAATTTATCGCTGGAGTATACGCATGTGTGTGTGTGTGTGTGGGAATTTGCATAGGTGTACAAGATGCATGGCTATGTGCGTGGGAAAATGTCTCGAAGGCAGCGAAGAAAATCACTTTTCATTTTATTCAAATTCAAAATTTTCTTCTCTTCTCGCTGAGTGCCTGTGTGTGTGTGTTTTGTGTGTGTATGTATATGTGTACCTGAGTGCACAAGGCCAACCTCTTGTTGCGCCGCGTTACGCCAATAATATACATCGAGTGCAAATATAAACTCTCAACTTAGCCGCAGCAACTCAAGCGAGTGCGAGCGAGATGGCCAGAGTGGCCAGGGAGACAGGGGGAGGGGAGCGAAGAGAGAGCAAATCAATTACCTGTCAGCCCTCCATGTGTGTGTGTGGTTGTGAAATGTAAAATGTAAAATGGAATTGTGTGGCTTATGCAGCCTGCACTGCTCTAACCTTCGCATTTGGCCACTCCTCGTATAACGGTAACTGCAACGGCCATCCAAACTGCGCACAAATGTATGCTGCAAAATACGGCTACATAAGTAACTGTGCAACAAGCTCACCTCCCACACACACACCCACACACTCCCATCCATGAGCTTGTGAAAGGGCACACATACATACGTACATGATAACATGTTGCTCGCCTGGCCTTTTGTTGTTGCCCTAATCAGGCAATTAAAAACGCAACAGCAACACAGCTGAACAGCAGTTAGCCGTGATTCAAAGGAAAAACAAGAAAACAGAACCGCAACTGGTTTTTGTTATGTCGTACATATGTATATATGCATGGGTATATTTATCCTCTGCCCAACCCACGCTTTCCCATTGTTTTTCCTTTGCGCCTTATTGGCCTTCAGTCAGCAAAGACAAACAACAACATGGTCAGTGTCATTATCAAATCACACACAGACACACACGCAGACACCAATGCAGGCGGTGGGCCGAGGGGCGGGGGGTGGTGCTCAAGGCTGTCCCTGCGTGTGAGTGACTCGTGACTCTCTGTCGCTGCTTACACTCGCAAAAATTGGTCACTTGTTTAGGAAATGTTTATTTAGTCAGAGATAATCCATAAAATATATTATTACGACACTATCCTGTTTTAAAACTTTTCTTAATGTGTAATTTTACCAAAAAACATTTTTATTAAAAATATAATTTTTTTGTGAAGTGAATTTTAATGCTTTCTTTTTTTCCAATCTCAGTCCCTTATCTTACTACTTTAATGATTTTAACTTACAATACATACCAGAAACGATAACTTTATAGATATAGAAAGAAAGGTTAAATGTGTTTTAAAAGAGTTTGTATTTTTTTTTCAAAGTCGAACATTTAGTTTTCAAATATATTTTATGTTATCCACAAAAATCATTAGAATTTATAAGGTATTTCTCTCAGTGCAAGTGCAGGGCATGTGAAACGTGGGCAAGTGGTTCTCCCACTTGCCGACTACGCAGGTTGTTCTCCATGCGAGTGTGAATGTGGGTGTCTGTTTTTGTGGATGTGCAACATCCCCGGCCAGCTGCAATTTGCTTCTTGCCAGACGCTTGTTGCACTTTCAGTTCATTTGGGTGTTTTAGCCAGGCCAGACGTGTGTCTATAAACAAAAAAAATCTTAAGAAATAAGAATGCTTCAGCGGTGCTCCGGAGATTCAGTGGCGTTGCAGCAGTGAAAGAAAAAGTTGCCTAAACTAGTGATAAAGTAAAAAAAAAACGAAAGAAAGAACGCTTTACAAAACACATTCCTAGCATGTCGCACAATCGCGAGAATCTGCGACTCAGCCTGTTGGATCTGCAGGCCACCCTGACGGCGCCCTCCCAAACCGTTGCCGCCGCCCTGCTCCCCCAAGCCCCGCAATCGCACATGCAACAGTTGCCCAGCAGCAACACCAGCAACAGCAACAGCAGCAGCAACATCAGCGGCTGCGGCAACAGCAACACCAGCAACAACAGCAGCAGCAGCGGCAACATCAACAGCAGCGTATCGCAGGCGGTCTCGATGGCCACCACAACGGTGGCGCGGCTGAGCAAGGCGGGATTCGGGGCGGCTGCCGGTTCAGGGGGCGGGGCCGGGAGTGGCTATCAGAACGACAAGTGCGACAGGCTGAAGAAAATGACTTCGATCACCTGCTCCGACTCGGAGGACGACTCCGAGCGGCGGGCGCAGTTCGAGATGAGTAGTAAATGGAATCTGGGCGGCTATGAAGGCGTAAGTCTGGTCGCTTTTAAGCCATTACTAATTGTTTTAACAGATTAAAACATAATTCTTAATATTCTTCTCTTGCAATATCTTATCTCCTCAGGACACCCGCACTTATGTGGTGCAAGAGATCTACCGTAATGAGCAAATCTACGTGGAATCCCTGCAGACCGTCGTTGTTAAGTATCTAAAGTGCTCAAGGCCCCCGAGCATGCCGGCATGATAGACACCCGCACGGTGGATGAGATCTTCTTCATGGTTCCCGACATCCTCGAGATTCACGAGAAGTTCCTGGGCGACCTAAAGACCGACTGGATGACTGGGATGTCCAGCAGAAAGTGGGCGATGCATTCATGGATACGGTAATGTATACCAAAATACTTCTAAAGGTGGTTTCCTTTCTTCATAAATCGATTGGTTTATCTATGGGAAATCGATTTACGGGTTTACGAATTGAATAATAAGAAATTTTAGTAGTATGATTGATTCTTGGATACGAAAGGATATCTCAAAATATATATAGAGGATAAACTATTCTTTGGCTTTTATCTGGAACATCTTTTCTAATTTTGGTCTCTCATCTCACAGTTTTCGAAGCTAGAGGTTCTGGAGGTCTACACATCCTTTGTGAACAACTGCAATAGGGCCAAGAACGCCATACGCTCCATGAAGCACCAGCGACCCTCGTTTTCCAAGTTCCTCGAGTCCACAGCTCGGGAGCACAAGGGCAAGCTTACCCTGGACAATCTGCTCATCAAGCCTGTGCAAAAGTTCCCCAAGTAGGTTTTCAATATACACTTAAAAGAATATCTTGCTAATTAGGAATTTCTATTACCCCCAGCTATGAACTGCTCTTCCAGCGATTGATTAAGCACACCGATCACGATCATCCGGATAAGAAGCACTTGCAGGATGTGCTCAAGCTGGTCCACGACATTCTGGTCCACATCAACTGCAAGGAGCGCGAGATCATGGAGAATGGACAAAGGGAGGCCACGCTGCGGGAACTGGAGGCGTCATCGAGGGCATCACCGATCTTATAGCCCCGAGAGGCAGTTCCTGCTCTTCGACCTGGTATCCATGCCATCGGGACAGGGGGCGCGCAAAGATCGTGGCTTCTTCCTGTTCAACGATCTGCTCGTCCTCACCAGCATCAAGAAACGAAGCGGCACCATCCGCAAGCCCAATAGCAGCATCTGCCCGGGCACCGTGGCCACCACCCTGGACACCAAAAGTACAAGTTCCTCACCAAGATCTCGCTGGACTGCCTGGAAATTGTTAAATGTAGTATAAGGCGTTGGGACTTGAGATTTATACTATTATACTCTGTGTACTGCAGCCAAGGACGAAAACATCAAGCGCATCGTCAGCGAAATCGAGACTTTGGCCGAAGACTGCAATAAACTGCAGCAAATCACCGACATAACCGTCACCCTTAAGTACCCGCATCAGTATCTGGAGGATGTAATCCGCGAGCTCCATCGCGATGTCCAGCGACAGCTCTCCGAGCGCCAAACAAACGACACCCAGCTGAATATGCTCGAGCTGACAGTCAGTTCTCCGTAAGTGGGATATTGTATAACCTGTTAGTTAGCTTTAGAAACTAAATACGTAACAGGGACTTGAAACTTGAGCGGCTGGTTGTGTACGTAAACCTACACTGACCCTCACCCAGACTAACAAAATTACTCTTATACACCTACAGCTTATTATAATATTGTTCTTATGGTAGTTTCAAAACAGAGATTGTAAAACTAATAGTTAAAGATAATAACTAGACGTTGGACTATTCGTGAAATCATTTCCACATTTCATTACTAAAAATTTTTTATTGGATTTACATTCCTTTATAAAATAAAATTCCTTTTTCCTTTAATTATAATCGTATATCTTTCACTTTAGAAATGGCAACCAGAAGCTGACCGTGGTCTTCAACAAGACGGAGAAGCGCACGCAATGGGAGGAGGCTTCAATGAGGCCAAGCAAAAGCTGGGTAAGTGATATGCAGCTACCCCAAAAATCTTTTAGAAAGTAATACCCATCCTATCCCTAATAGCTGCCACCCTGGAGCGACATCCCATTCCCGAGTTCCTCACCTCCATACCCATCCGCAAGACCCGCGCCGGCCTGCAGTTCACCTGTGCAGCCGCCACGCTGAGTGACAATCGGGATGTCTGGGTGTGCAACAGCGACGGCTACGTGGGTCAGGTGTGCATCATGTCCCTGCATCCGGAACCGAATGTCACCAGCTGCAATGGCGTCTGCAATGCCCGCATCCTGTGCGTGGCCTCAGTACCGGCTTATAGCTCGTCGGCCTCGAGTCGGAATAGTAGTGGTGAGCAGTCAGGATCCGGTGGCCAGGAGGAGAAGGACAAGCGGAACACTCCCCAGAGCTACACACAGCAATTGAGGGACTATCGCAAGAGTATCTCGCCCAGCTTCCAGAGTGCCTCCGCATCGGCAACGGCGACGCCCGAGAAGAAGAAGCTGACGCCCACGCCCACGCCGGTGACAAGTGGTGGGGTGATCCTGCTGATCCTGCGGCGACCACCGCCGGCGGCAGTGATCCTCAGCTGGAACTGAATCTGAGCTCCAGCGACGATGAAACAGAGGCTGCAGGCGCCTCGCTGAACGTCGCCGGAGCGCTGGTACGGGATCTGGAGGAGCTCTGGGGGAACGGGTTCCCAGTCCTGCGCCCTCATACCATGGGCATCAGGACTCGAATCCCGAGGAGGGCGAGAGCAATCAATCAACCATGTGGATTGGCACTGAAGACGGCTGCATCCACGTTTACAATAGCACTGACAATATTCGCATTAAGAAAAACCGCATCAAGATCGAGCACCATTCGGCCGTCTATTCCATTTTGTAAGCATAACTCTCATGGAACTTAACTTTAAGATTAACTTATATATATTGATTTGATTTTCTTCCATCTAGGTACCTGGACAATCGTGTGTTTGTATCATTAGCAAATGGTGATATCTGTGTTTACCTGAGAGATGGTGGTATGTATATTTCAATAAGGACCCCTGAACCTAAGTAACCATTGGTTTCCCTTTTAGCCACCTCTTGGAATACTTGCTCTTCGCATTGCCTGTCCATAGGCACGGTTACCAGTCCGGTGAACAAGCTCTTGAACGTCAACGGACGACTTTGGTGTTCCATTCAGGGCATTATCAAGGTGTTGGATGTGGAGACCTTAACGGTAAGGAATTATATTACACTCAATAGTATAAAGAACTTATAAAATCCTATTATTTCCCTCAGGTCATCAATCAAATACAGATTTCATCGGACTCGAAGCCCATCACAAACATGACAGTCTCAAACAATCATGTGTGGATATCCATACAGAACTCAGCACACATAAAGTGTTTCCATTCCAATACGTGAGTGGGAGTTGACAATGACCTTTGTCTATTAATACTTACCCTTTGAATCCTTAACCCACAGCCACCAACTGATTACCGAAGTGAATCTCGCCCCCGCCGTTAACAAGATGCTTTCGAATTGCGATGAAATCATCCGGCAGCACAAGGCCGCCTGTCTGCGGGTCACATCGCTGCTGTGCTGCAAGGATCTCATCTGGATTGGAACCAGTGCGGGTGTTTTGCTCACCATCCCGGCGCAGGGTTACGAGAAGGGTGCCATAACATTGTGCCAACAGGCATTCCACATGGTCACACGGGACACGTGAGGTTCCTCACCTTTGTGGAAACCACGGGATTGGAGGGAGCTGCACCTGGGGAGCGCGGAGGTCGGGATGCAGGCGGCTCCACCAGCGACGAGTACTCCAAACAGGGGTGAGTTATGATCTATATTCTATATGATCTATATTACCTTTATCTTATTCGTTTTCAAGGTCCATCAAGCACTCCAAGTCCAAGTCGGAGACGAACAACACCCTGATCATTTCCGGCGGCGATGGCTACGAGGACTTCCGCAACTCCGGTGCCAACTCGCTGAGCGAGATCGCCGGACGTGAGGACAGCACCAACCATCTATTGATATGGCAAATTTGAAGCAGAAGGCGTAAAAACCGCTGGAGGCTCCTGCTCTCGCGCTGGAAGAACAACAACTGAGATCGCCTCAGTGGGTGTGTCCTTTGGCCAGCGCTCGAGTGGAGAGCCCGGCGGTTTTTATGGGCCGAGCATTGATCGAGATCGATATCCAGATCCCCCCATCCCCCAGGAGATCTGCAGCAGCTGCTAAGCTGGAAATTAGTAGGATTAGCTGACGGACAACTTGACGAACTGAGGGACAAACTGGACGGCTGTACAGATGAATTTGGATTGCTCGCAGATGGGAGGGATTTCACCTGTTTGGCATTTGATGTATTATGTGACTTCCCCCAATCACACCCGACTGGTCACCCAAACAGTGCCAAAACAAACACATACGACTCCTGCGATTTGGGAACACTTTCAATGTACATACAGATCGCACCGCTGAAGAGGAGGGAAACCAACTGGATTCCACAGCAAAAGTACGATAGATATTTTTGTATTGCTTATAGCAGGCAGACTAATTGTAAATCTAAAAACCCCATTCAAGTGTTAAAAGTTCGAGCCTAAGTTCGTTTGAATTGAATACAGGTCTAAGTGTAACATAACATTAATCATACAAAATTGTGTACGAGTTTATCCATCTGAGGTTCTGATGTTCTGATGTTCGATCCCCCCTGCCCTGCATTAATCGAATTTATAAACTACAAACCACTCAAGGGTCATGTCACTTATGTTCGCATGTGTCTCTCCAAAACAATGAGTACGCATGCCCAGGATAGGCTTGTAAAAATAATGAAAATCGTAGTCTAAGCATCTCCCTATTTTTATTGTATACATACGCGCGTAATATATACATATACATATATATATTGATAACTATACCGATAACTGATTAAATGGCGTTTATAAAGTTTATTGTAAAACCTATTTCATGCAAGAGAATTGAATTTGAAAATTGCAAATTTTAACACAAATACGAGTGATATTCAAGTTTTTGCTAAAGTTTTTTGGGCATGTACAAAACGTTAAACCCACACTAAACACTCACACCACCCCACCATCCTGCCCCACCCAACCTATCCTATCCTAAATCTAAATACTACCCACTAAAATAAACATATATATATTTTTTCTAATTGAATACTAAATTGTAAGTTGTGCGCACCCCAAAATCAAGCAACTCAAGCGACCCATCAATTGGCGGTCGTCGTCTCAAGCTCGATCGTCTGTCTAAGGTAGCAAATTGTAATAATTTAAGTATGAATATATTTCTATGTTATAGTCTGGTTGGTTATTAACATTAATCATTGTTCAGTGCAGTATTTCAAGTGTATGCTAAGCTCTTCCACCATCGATTATCCCAACAACCGAAACCACTAACAACACTAAACCACATCAACATAAACCGAACCACCGAGCGCGGTTTCATCTGTTATTTGAGTGGCCAAACGCATCCTATGAAATGTATAAAATGCATTTTCTCATATTCAGTGAACATCTGACAATTGTTATCCTACCTCTGCGAATACCAAGGTGTTAAATATATATATTATACTCGAGGTATTGCTCTCGGCCGACGTAGAATGATCCTGAGAATGGGATCATCAGTAGTGGATGCTGGAGCTGAAACAGGAGAAACTCCCTAAATGAGCTGTAATAATAGAATCTAAAACAATAATTCCCCCCTTTGCCAAGCTGCATTGTAAGGTTCAATAATAAATTGTAAATGTGTTGAAGAAAAATAAATATATATTACTTATATGGAGGCGTAAGCATGTATTATGATTATGTTTGTATCATCTACAATATTAAATGGAATCTTTAAGCCCAACTAAATGGGGAATGTTTTGGATTTGGAAGGGGGTCATATCGTCTTAAAATCCCAAGAGATGGTTTAGATACTCTCTGTAGATTTCAAAACGATATTTTTTATCATCTACAAATTAAATGGATCTTAATGGAATCTTTCTGGAAATGAAAGGGGGTTGTATCATCTTAAAACCCAAGTGTTATTTACCTACTCTCTTGGGATTTTAAAAGGAGAATGGTCTCGTGCCACCTGCATATGCAGATAGAATAATTTATAATTCGTTATTTAATTGCTTTCCCCACCATTTAGTTTGGATAAATTCAGATGCGCGCATATTTAATTATCGCGTTCATTTGTAAAAATTAATTATAAATGGATTTATGCTGTAGCTATCTGTGTCTAACCGAACGCACATGCATATTCCAACTGACGTGGACACTGGCCATTTTAATTGGTAGCCCAAATACCTCCTCCTCCCCGTTTTGTTCCCCATTAAATAATTCATTTTAATTAGTGTTTGTCAAAATCGTGGATTCCGCTGCCGCATGTTGCACTATCGATTCGAATCCGATTTGGATTATGTTAATCCCGGCCAGAAGATACATATTAGGTAGCGGAGCGAAAGGCTGGGAATATTGATTGCTTTTTGTTTACCTTTGTGGTGGACTGCACACGTGGCACATTTTCCGGCCCGGGGGATCAGTGGAAGTGGTGGGGCATCTGTAAGTAAAATAAAATCAAGCAAATTATGCGTAAAACTCAATTATTTGGGACTTTTAAAACAGCCGAGCAAAAACAACAAAGGGGAAAAACTTTTGCCGTAAGGCATTTACGTAAGTGCTTGGCCATGGAGTTGTGGATCCATCCGTGGGCAGAGGGCGAGCCTTTATGTTCGTCCTTTGCCCCCGGCTCCTCCTGCTCCTCCTGCTCCTGCTCCTGGTGGCTTTTGGCTCCTTCCATCTCGACACGCTTGGCCACATGTGTGTGGCAACATGCTGCGTAAATTACGCTGCCATAATACCCTTCCATATGGTCAACTGTTCCGCACCGCCACATTCATTTCTCCAAAGGGGCAAAACTTTCACCGAGCCAAAGTTGGGAATAACTTTCACAGCCAACTTTTCAGCCAACTTAAGGACTTACCGATTTGCTAGAGTATCTGGACTTCTGCCATCCTTAACTTCCGTGATTCCGTTCGACCGTGTTTACACAGGAGTCGCCCATAGTCGACCGAAGGTCGTTGCTGGTCTTCGGTGTTTTAACTCCGCATAAGTTCTTAATAAATTTCATTATTGCATTTTAAACTTCATGTGGCATTATTTATGGCTGCCACCACAGTTGGGGCGGAATTTCAGCCACCAACTATGAACACAACCTGCACAATTCCCCGATCAGGTTGGCCTCCATTTCAATGGTGCTTCACCTTAACGTATTTTAAATACTTGACGCAATGCCAGCGGAAGAGCTTATACTTATCGCTATAAACGTGCCTGCTTATCCATCCGTTTACCGAGTTCGCAACTTAATAATCCTTCAGTTGTAAGCCGATTTCATTTCACCTTGTTATTATCCAGGGATTGGTTTAATGTTGCTTTATTTTTAACTTCAGAACACAGAAACACATTGAAGTGACCAATGTAAAGGACTACTACAGGTAAGTTTCTTATAAAAATTATTATTTGTTGAGATTTTTTAAAGTTTGCGTGATCATCATGCAATAGTTTTACATACATAGATTTTTATAAATATTATGTAAAATATATCATTATAATAGTAATTAAAGATTTACCGCACATTTTGTCCATAAGAAGATAAAACACAGAAAAAATTATAATCCAAACATTAAGGATTTTAGTTAATATTATTTTAACTTGGTAGCTTACTATATTCAGGAAAACGTTTAAGTTAGTATTTTTTAACCATTAACTCAAGTTAGAGGTCCATTTCTAAAACGAAAAGATCACTTAACTTAGGACCCTATGAAAAATGGAATCGGAAGACACTGTCAAACAATATTAAAAAACATAATAAAACATATATTTGGTGGAAAGGCCAAAATATTTTAACTTTTCTTCCGCTTCAACAATCTCAAACTTCCTATGGAAAAATACAATGGTTTTCATAATTTACAAATAGATTATCTCAGTTCATGTGCGCATAAATCCCTCTGGTCACTTGGGACTGCCTTCCTGCCTTCCTTCCTGTTTTCCCGCCTGTCTGCCTCGTAATTTCCAATAATGTTTTCTGTTTTCAGCTCTCTGGTTTTGGCCGTGGTCAACGCATTTAGTGTTTGTGCGGCTTTTGCGGTGGCTCTCCATGGGACACAACAAACACCAAAACATTTGTTCGCGTGGCTTCCGCACATTGATGGCCAAAGGCGGAATTGCCATTTTCACTCGTGGATATTTTGGCAATTGTAAACTCGATTAACCAATTAATACCCTGCGAAATGATCGAAGGGGGGATGGGTAGGCACTTGAATTTGTTGCACTATTTTGCATGCCACATAGTAAGCCACGCCCACACCGCTTCCGTTGGCTAAGCCGCCTTCAACGGCCCACAGACCTGGTCTTTTGTATGCTTTTCCACAATTTTCCACCAAACCAACACGCAATGTAAGCTTGAAATCTGCTTAACGGACAATGGCCGGATGTGAAAGTCCATTCCGGAATGACCGGGAGTACGGAGGGGGTTCCCCTCGAAGGGGCACAATAAATTGAAAGGAAGATGGCAAAAGTCGAGGGTGCTCGAGAATCAAATTTAAAATATATACCTACAAAAACATATATATATTTAACTGTGTGTGCCTGGTAACCGTAATCGAAGTATATAGTATCATCTGTCTGTTGGCCCCCTGCATCCTGTTTCGGTTGCTGTCCTGTGTTCTGTGTCTGGTTCCTACGCTCTGATCCGGTTGACGCGAATAATATTACACTTATTGATTGAAAATTATTAATAGCTTCTGGCCTTTGCCGTCTCTAAGCGGCCACGCCATACATTAGGGACCCAGCGGGTTCGTTCACCTATCAATTAAAAGCAACTTTAACAGGCTGTGCACCTGGAAAAATATGTGTCAATAATCATGTCTTAGAACATCATAAATATTCGGCATCTCATTAATACAAGTCACATCATTGTTATTTTTGACTTTTTCGGGATCTGTATGATTTTAATCTATGTCAACATTAACAATAAAATATTTGGTCATTTGGTAAATGAATTTCTATCATAAAAAATAAAAATCAAGTGTTATTTTATTTAAAGTAATGATTATTTTAATAATACATCGATTTCGCTATCCATAACGTATATTTTTTCGTGTGTGCAAATGGAACTTGTCGAGTTCCGGGAATGCGATAGAGGCTGGGATAGGGCTTCCTTCCGCCATTTCCCCAGACTAATTATGTTGGCGAAATTAAAACTTTATGACGCTGGAGTACACATGGTGCCAGGACATTAGGCGACAAATTGTCGTGTCCTGCGAATACATGTGCAATTCGGGGGCACGATATGATGGCGGAATGTGGAGGAGTCGAGTGCGTGAGTGTCATGCACCACAGCAAAGTGGGGAAGCGATTTGTCAGGCAATTACTGAATCCATTGCAAGTGCCACTAAGACAAATTGTTAAACTCAATTTAGCATTGCCATTGCCATTGCGAGTGCCAAGTCTGTTGGTTCTGGTGCATAGAAATGGAAAGTTCCTCGTTTTTTTTTGCCCCGAACTTGTGTTGGGGAAAAACTTTCACTCAGCCTTGAAGTTGGCCGGGAAATGGGAAAAGGGGGCGGAAGCGGCTGACGACGACCTTCCTGTCACTGCAAAACTCACTTATGTACGTGCATTTGATAATTAAATGATGTTGCGAAACTTTGTCCACGACCAGAAGCCATTTTTCGGTCCCTGCCACAGATGACTCTTGCCCTTTTTCGGGATCATCGCCTTTGCATGGACACCAATTATGCCCGGCCGTTCCGCAGAGTCACGTACCGAACCGCACAGATGCAGATACAGATACAGATACGGCTACCCCTTCTCCGCATTTAATCAATCTAAGTGATGTCTGGTGCTAACCGCCGAGAAGATTCAGGTGGCTCCGGGCTGATTTTGATTTTCGCAAATGGTTAACTATGGTGGGAGAAACCGCCCGAAGGTATGCAGAGGTTTTGGATCTGATTGGGGGTTTACTAACCACGCCGCAACCTGTGCAAAAGCTAATATATTTAATGCCTTTGCAAATTTATGATCATTCTTTAAATTATTAAATTAATTTTTCATCGTCATTAACAACATTACATCAATTACACGTTCTGGATGCTGGATTGTAACTAAGCTAATTAACTATTTTATGTAATATGAAGAAAATTTAATATAAATCAAGTGTAATGTCGGAAAAAGTATAATTGCATGTTATTATAAAAAAGATTGGATTAATTTATACAAATCTTTTAAAGTACAACTTTTAAAGCAACGACTGTTTTTGAGAAATTTTTGTGAAATATAATATTGATATAATATTAATATTATATAAATAAAAAAGGTTTCTTATATTATATTACAATTTTTAGAACAAAGGGACCTGACATACGTGTCGTATGAGTTATTTGTTCTTTATTTTGGTGGTGTCCAATGCTAACATATTTTTAGTTTTTTAACAATCGCTTACTTTAGGGAGCCTTAAAAAAAGATTCTTATATATATTAAATTTCTATACTAACAATTTTGTAAAACATATATTAACAGGCATACATACATGTCGTATGAGTAATTTTTCCTTTAATTTCCTTCATTTTTAAACCTTTTCAGCTCATAACTTATTATTGCTTCTTTTATGAAAAATAAGATATCATTAGGGTCTAGACCTTAGATTTCAAATCCTAATTGGCGCTAAACAGCACGTAGAAGTGCGTTCATTCAGTTTGTTTCACTTCAGCTGGTCCCACTCACCCTTCGACCCGC